TAATTAATTATTATTTTATTGTTTGATTCACACATATCTCATGACATTATTTGCCACCTGGCCCCCAAATAAACTGCCACAATGTCATAATTCATTGTCAAGAAGTTGGGCAGCCCTATTTCAGAAGAAGACAATCCTTCCCTTCATTCATCATTAGTGATGACTAGAAAATAGTACTTAGAGGTTTGCTTTTGGGAATTGGCTTGTAGATAAAGTAGATATGCATTAGGACAATGGTCCAGGGGAAGGGCGAGGGTTAATGGATTTCTAAATGCCTGTTTGTGACAGTTTCCTCAAGACCCACTGCATCTGACAGGCAAGTAGCAAGCAGACATGCAGGCTGGGAAATTGAAGACAAGTCATGTACCACAGTGTTCCATAACATGAGATAAGGTGGCATTAGGTCATAGTGCCCAACTGCACAGCCCTTGAAATTTCCAGTTTTTGGGAACAGACCAAATTAGGAAAAGACTGATAAAGTCCAAATTAGGATGTGTGTATATCATAGATTTCATAGATGTCATAGACATTAGGGCTGGAAGGGACCTCGGAAGATCATCGAGTCCATCCCCCTGGCCCAGGGGCAGGAAGTCAGCTGGGGTCAAAGGATCCCAGCAAGATAGATGTCCAAATGTTTCTTAAAAGAGTTCAGTCTATTCTAGGCTTTAGGGGCTTGGACAGTAAATTAGTTTTTCCTTATAGCCAGCCTGAAATGGTCTTGGAGGAATTTGTGATCGTTTGACCTTGTCATCCCTTGGGGCACTCTGAACCCAGATCTCTGTTCACCCAGATTCTGGATGTACACCCCTTATATACTTATAGGCAGCCACCAGGTCCCCCTTGAGTCTGCACTTTTCCAGGCTGAAGAGTCCCATGGCTCTCAGTCTTTCATTACAGGGCCTCTTCTCCTGCCCTCTGATCATACACGTGGCTCTCCTCTGGACTCTCTCAAGCTTCTCCACATCCTTTTTAAATTGTGGAGCCCAGAATTGGATACAGTACTCCAGCTGCGGCCTCACCAAGGCCAAGTACAGTGGGAAGATGACATCCTGGGAGTTGCTTGAGAAGCATCTATGGATGCAAGGCAGAGTTTTGCTCACTTTACCATCTGTAACATTGCATTGGTGGCTCATATTCATCTTGTGGTCAGTCATGACCCCCAAGTTCCTTTCAGCTGTGGTGCTAGCAGGCGTAGCACTGCCGAGCCTATAAGCGTGCTGAGGGGTTTTTTTCCCCAAGGTGGAGTACCTTGCCTTTTTTGGTATTGAACGCCATCAGGTTTTCATCTACCCATTTTCTGAGCCTGTTGAGATTGGCCTGGATCACCAGCCTATCCTTAGGTGTGGATGCTTTACCCCAAAATTTGGTGTCATTGGCGAACTTGGCCAGTCCATTTCTGATACCAAGGTCTACATAGTTAATAAAGATGATAAAGAGTATAGGCCCAAGGACGGAGCTTTGGGGGACCCCACTGGTCATGGCACACCACAATTACTTACTTCCATCTACTACCACTCTCTGGGTCTGACCACAGAGCCAATTCCCCAGCCATCGGTCCGTGATGTGGCTGAGGCTGCAGTTGGCCAATTTTTCCATGAGGAGATCATGGAACACCAGATCAAAGGCTTTTTTAAAGTCCAGATATATGATGACAATGTCTTCTCCCGTGTCCACGTGATATATCACCTGGGCATAGAAGGAGATGAGATTGGTCAGGCAAGACCTACCCACAACAAACCTGTGCTGGCTGTCCCTCAGGATGTTGCCATCAGCCAGTTTGTCAAGAATGGTTTCTTTGATAATTTTTTCCAAGATCTTCCCCGGGATAGAGGTCAGGCTGATAGGCCTGTAGTTCCCTGGATCTACTTTCCTCCCTTTCTTGAAGATAGGCACCACATTGGCCTTCTTCCAATCTTTGGGCACTTCACCTAAGTGCCACAAGTTCTCGAAGATCCATTCCAGTGGCTGAGCTATGAAGCCTGCCAGCTCCTTAAGTACCTTGGGGTGTAATCTGACCCAGCTGACTTGAAGGTGTCCAGCCTCTCAAGGTGTTCCTTCACATGGTCTATAGTGATGTAAAGTAACAATTCTCCCTCACCCTGGCTGGCCTATACCATGTTGAGCAGGGCGGTCCCTTGGGGCTCATGAAAAAACGACGCAAAATACCCATTAAGCAGGTTGTTTTTCTCCTGGGTGTCGCTTGTCAGTTGTTCCATTTGGCTTAGCAGGCATCCGATGTTACCCTTGCATTTCTTCCGACTCCCCACATATCCAAAAAAGGACTTTTTGTTGTCTTTAATATGTGTAGCCAGTTGGAGTTCAGTTGCAGCCTTGGCTTTCCTGATTCACTCCCTACAGGACCAGTGCAGAATACTCCTCCTTTGAGGTGATTCCAGTCTTCCATCCTTTATAGGTCTTTCTTTTTAGACACAGGAGGTCCACAAGTTCCCTGAAGAGCCAAGGGGACTGCTGTACCTTTCCTTCAAGATGGGATAGACATTGCTTGTGCTTTCAGGATCACTCCCTTGAGGAGCAACCACTCATACTGAACTCCCATCCCCTTCAAGTCGTGATCCCTTAGGGCTTTGCCAACAAGCCTACGGAGCTTGTCAAAGTCAGCTTTCCTGAAGTCAAGGACTTCTGCATTGCTGACTGACTTACCAGCTTTGCAGTGGATAGTGAAAGTGATCAGCTCCTGGTCACTGTCTCCCAGTTTCCCTTCGATCATTAGGTCACTGATTAGATCATCTCCCTTTGCTATACCAGGTCAAGCAGCGCTTTGCCTCTTGTTGCTCCATAGACTTCTTGAGTCAGGTAGAGCTCATCCATGAACATGAGGGAGCTTTGCGACCATTCAGATTTGGCCAAGTGCTCATCCCATGAGATGTCAGAGTAGCTGAAGTCTCCCATGACATGGTGCATGGTTGTGATGGGTTTGCGAAACAAAGGAATATGATGACAGGACAGAATGTGGACAGTATGATGACCACAGGTAGACAAATCATAATCATAGAAAGTTAGCATTGGAAGGAACCTCAGGAGGTCATCTAGTCCAATCCCTGCTTGAAGCAGGACCTTCCCCAACTAGATCATCCCAGCCAAAGCTTTGTCTAGCCAGGTTTTGAAATCATCCAAGGATGGAGCTTCCATCATCTCTCTGGGCAACCTGTTCCAATGTTTTACTACCCTCCTAGTGAGAAAATTCTTCCTAATGAATATTTAAACAAACCATTCAAGTTTTATTCTGCTTCATGAATAAATTGTGATGTTAACCTAAACTTACCTTCCTGCAACTTGAGACTGTTGCTCCTTGTTCTGTCATTTGCCACCACTGAGAATAGTCTAGCTCCATGCTTTTTTGAATCTGACTTCAGGTAGTTGAAGGCTGCTATTAAATCCCCTCAGTCTTCTCTTCTCTAGACTAAATAAGCCCAGTTCCCTCAGCCTGTCCTCCTAAGTCATGTCCCCCAGTCCCTCCACCATTTTTGTTGGCTTCTGCTGGACTCTGTTCAATTTGTCCACATCCTGTCTGTATTGAGGGGCCCAAAACTGAACATAATACTCCGTGTGTGGCCTCACCAGTGCTGAATAGAGGGGAATCAGCAGTGCCCAGAGATGAAGAGTCATCAGGACGGGGAAAGAATACAAAAGGAGGGGTTTCAGAGCAGAAAACGGTCCCCAAAAGTGGAACCTGAGGCCATCACAGACACACTACCAGCCTGTCTCACCCACCCCACTGGGAGGGTTGGCCTCAGCCTCGAACCTCCAGGCTGCTGACATCTGGCATTTAAGAGAGAACCTCAGAGTGAAGCTTGAGTACTAGCCAGATGTACCTGGACTCTGTGCAGCTCTAGGAGTGGTAGATATAGGATTGTTTGCATTATTCTTATCTGCTATCACTGTGTATCAATCAAATTTGCCTATTATCAAATGGAAAGGTCATGGTCAGTCTGAGCATTTGGGTCTGTCCATCATAAATCCAATGGCAACAATTAGAAGGGGCTTTATTTTATAGGACTAAGTTCCTGTTCTCTAATCCAGCTCCAAATCTTGCTGTGAGTCCTTATCATTCAGGCTTCATCCCCGAGAGCTTTTGGACAAGGCATGAGCTAGTGAGAAAGGCAGTTGCACTCAAGTGTAAGTAGAGTTAGCGAGATTCAAATGAAGTTAAATCTAGAGATGCTCTTCCATGCTACAAGGTAATACATTTCAAACCTTCTTCATGCCCAAGTACTTTATAGGACATAAAATAAATAATACTGATCTCAACAACAAAATGACCTGGGTTTACATCTAATCCTTAATTATTCTTTACTTCCCTGTTGTTTAAGTCGTTTAGCTCTATTAGGTTAAGAAAACTTTTTGGCCAAGTGGCAGCTCATCCGTTAATGAAGAATCAACTTCCTCTGTGTTTCTTGTCTGCTCAGTGCTTCTTGCCTTGAGTTTTTATCTAGCACTCTTTTTCCTCACATTGGTGAGGTTTAGACCTTTGTGTGTCCATTGAGAAAAGTGATTTTTTATATCCAAAGAGCCAACTTAACAAGATAACTTTAGGGTAAATGAGACAGAAATAGTTTGAAAGAGGTAGTTAGCCATTTTAGTCTGAAGTCAGATGCCTAGCATCTGATGAAGTAAGCTGCTGCTTAAGAAAGCTTACACATCTCTGATTTAGGTGCAAATCTATCCTTCCTTCCACCAGAAACAGTTTTTTACATCAGTAAATTGATTCAAATCAAAACCACAGAATGAGGTGGGAGTACCTGTACTCTGCCTTCAATGAAATATTTCATTAAGGCACATCTCTCTGGATAAATAACTCTTTTTTGGGGTGATGACAGTCTCCATATTTGGACAACCCTCAGAAACAGCTGACAGTACATGCCATGCCATGTTCTTCGCTGTTATTATATGCTTAGCTGTATTATATGCTTTGCTTAACAATTTACAAATACTGACATAAAAGCTATTTGTCTTAAACAAGACTAAAGAATGCTATTTACCTTAAACAAGACTGGCTGTAAAAAGGATGTGGATAATTCTTCATTGCTCTTTTGGCTATTTTTAGTTCCTGAAGTCCCCACCTCTGTAAATCGTCATTCCTTTGGATTTGTCAATACTTCATTGGTAATACATGATTGTCAAGTTCTTCCTGGACAATAGGAAAAGATCAAGAGCTAAAGAAATGAAAGGAGCTTTTCTGTGACAAGTTGCAATGATACTTGATATGTTAGGTGTTTCCATATATGCCTTCTTGTTTCTCTTGGCAACGATTATAAGGCAAAGAGGAGGATGGCAAATGTAATCTTTTAACTATCATCATGGAAGTTATGTATTTCCCCTCAATAATACAATTTGCTTACACAATTTAAAAAAATCATTTAGCTTCCAGGTACCTGCTCAATTTGTCATTTTTATGGTGTTAATAAAACTTAGATTTACCCAAAGGTTGAGTGTCTTTTGTAGTTAACATCACAATTTATTCATGAAGCAGAATAAAACTTGAATGGTTTGTTTAAATATTCATTAATCTCCTTGATTAAATTTTAGCTGAAGTAACTGAAGCCTGGTATAAATGCTTTTTAGGATATCATTAAGGTTAGTCTTCTGCTAAATATTTTCAGACTTTGGACCCTTTTCTATACCTATTTGTTCAATTCCAATTAAATGAGAGAAAGAATGAGCATATAGTGATTTACATACATGCATGTAGATAGATATTTAGATTTAAATTTTAGGGGGAGGGGGTATTCTAACAATTATAGAGCTATGCTTACATAACCAGGGCAAGAAACTGTTCAGCATTTGTGATGTCCATGCTTTTTACAGATCACCAGTTTTTTAGTTTACCCAGGAAATCTCATCCTGAACTCACCAATGTGGTATCTGAGGTCCAGATCTAAACACATTTAGGGGCCATACTCTCAGTTACTTTCACTGGAAGTTAGGCTCCTAAATACTTCTGTGGATCTAGACATTAGACATTACAGTGATGAGTGGAATACTGAAACCTATGTAAAGACAATACGGAAAAGGCAACTCATGCACATTAGCGGTCTGTAAGGCTGAGTACATTTTAAGACTCAGATCAGTTTGGAGCCTGGGTATCACAGAAGTGCTATAAAACTCCTTATGTTTGGGTTATACCTCTGTGCTGCACCTTTCAGAAAAAAAAGAGCGTAGAATCTGGCCCAGCGTACTTTATGTGTATGACAAAAACTGCTGTCTGTCAGAGGTTAGTAACCTAAGATGTCCCTACACTTCATCACCAATAATCAAGGTTTTCTAAAGACCAAGCTGTATTCTCAGTTACATATGTGCAAAGTGCAACCAACCATAATATGTTCCCAAGAGAACTGTTGATTATATAAAGAAGATGATCCAGATCACTCTGCAATACTAATAGGGATAAAAAAAAGTTTTTGTCAGTTTAAGCATTCCATATGACTCAGTAGACACAAGAAGTGTTTGATTAGCAGTGTACCAGTTTTGCATACTTTCAGAATACATATTCATTTAAACTCAAATACATTTTTAGGCTTTAAGGATTATAAAGATTTTTTCTGAAGGTGAATTGATACGCCGATGACTTATCAAGTATCCAGAAATATCGCAATATGAGCTAGGTCCCTCCAAAGGTAACAATCTTTTGTAACATGTCAGATGTTCAGTCAAGTTATCCCATGATAAAAATGGTGAACCCACAACAAAGTTTACAAATCTACCTCAGACAAGCAACTTCTTTTTGATGCAGAAGCATCCTGGGATAATTTTAACATCTGGCATGTCACTCAGTTGAAAGGGTGTGCAAGGAGGCTGGGTGAACTGAGGAGCCACTCAGAACAGTGGGAAGCCTAAGACTGGGGAGCTTCTCACTGATCCCAGGCTCCCTGTGTGTCTGGACCTTTGAAAGCTGTGTGTGCAGCCCAGCTGCATTTGCACCCTTTGAACAGTCTGGCACATGGAGAGCCCAAGATCAGAAAGCAGCTCCCTGATCTCAGGCTCCCCACTGGCATGTTCAAGGGAAACTTTAAATGGATGTGCAAGCTCTTCAGCATCGGGGAGCTGGTCTTCATTACAAGGCTCTCTGATAACTTTAAAGGATATGAGAGTAGCCCAGCATTGAGGAGCAACTCCCCAAGTTTTCCAAGCACTGGCAGACATGTGATGGGATTTGCCCAAAACTGAGCATCCTGCCATGCCAGACCTTGAACATCCAGAATGGCAAGAGGCACAATTTTTGGGATCTGGGATAAAATTCTCAGATCCCACTGTACAGTTAAATTAACCTCTTGAGCATATATTGACAACATTTCATAGAAGCAGGATGTTGGCTGCCGTGGTTTCCCTGCTTTACCTGTGACAGGTTAGGGTGTAAAGTCTGTGTTGTGCCAGGGTTGAACATAGTCTTATGTAGAGTTTAGATTATGGTTGTATGGGATGGTTTGGATAGGAATGATCCTACCTCAGGCAGGGTGGTTGCACTAGATGACCTCTGGAGGTCCCTTCCAACCCTGCTTCTCTATGACTCTATAACATATGGCAGGGGCCCTAGATTTACTTAATAAAGTCCACTTTCTACCATTTTAGCTATACAAAGCAGACTTAAATTCAACTACATTAGGGTTCTTCTGACATGGGAGAATACCAGGGGTGTTTAATCTGCATTTGTAACAACAGACTTACTTTATAGGAGGTGAGTCACAAGAAACATGAGTATGGCTTAAGAACTGTTATATCTGCCTGGCCCTGATGAATAATGGTTTATTGGGCCATAGTCAAACTTAGCAGTACTGAGGAGTCTTACAGTACTGACAGATGAAGCAATTATTAGATTGATAGGAACGGAAACTGATATAAACTGTTACGCTGCAACTGTTACCATCTGCATAATTCTATAGTGATACATATATAGAAAAACTGCTACAACTTTAATCCTTTTTCATTCAAGTTAAAATTATCACAATTTAACTAACTTGTATTGCTACAGCATAATGCAGATGTAACAGTTAGCTGTAACAGCTAATGTAACTGCAAGGTAGCAGTTATCCCTTCCCTTTCAAAGCAGCTAAAATATACATTTGTCCAAAATCTTATTATTCTGAAGTGCTGTTTCTAGCAAAAGTGTCACAGAAAAGTTCTCAAAATAGATTTTCTGTTTATTGATTTGATTTTAGTTTTTTGGCTTTGCAACTTAATAAAATTTAACTGTCCTACCAAACGATTTGTTCTTTGATGTCATACTGTAAAGATGAAAAATGAAAATAACAACTCACCTAGGCAGGTTAAATACAACTAAATCTGCATTTTTTTATGTGAAAACCTTTCTTAAGTATTTACATAACATTTACTTTAATAAATATTTACATAAGTCAGGTCAGACACATTACTAATGGGGAGGGGCTCCAAAATAGAGCAGGTAGATTTGGGAGTGAGGGGGAGGGGATGAGAGGGCAATAGTACATTTACCAAAAATATAATTTTGTTACAGGCTGAATGGGATGGTTTTGTAGACATGAAGTGAAATATTTTAGTTTTCTACTTTGGTCATAAAAATTAAAAAAAAAAAACATCAACTTTGGTTTGATCTGAGCCATTCCTTCTATTCCTGTTTTTAATTTTGATTTCCAAACCAAATGAACAATACAGACCTACTTAGGACAGCAGCTAGCTATCTTCTATGGCTAGTAGTCTCTTTACTCAACACAATCAAATGTAATGCTCAGATGAAGTATCTTGGCAGCCTAGACTTTTATCTATGCATTAGAGTCGACTATATCTTCTCACAAAGTATAAATGTAGGTATGTTCATTTCCAGCATATTGTGGCTAGCAGAGAGGTGTTTAGACAGATAGTCTACCTTCCACTGTAAATACTGTGTTTTCTGCTATATCTCTCTGTAATAGCAGTTTTATATAGTTATCTTATGGCCTTCTATGCCTAGTCAATTTATATTGATTCCCATAAGTCTCTAGAAAGACTATTTGTACAAGCTGAATCAGATTGAGTGGTTTTTGATAAACATCTGGTAAGGTAGCATAACGTATGGTACAGTGAGATGTACATAGGCTGACCATAAGGAAACCTGAGACATCCTGTCTGCCTGGCATGCCAGCTTGCTTTGCCTCCTTGTTGAACTGTGCCCCATGCCCCTGCATTTCTGGGATGCTCGTTTTAATTCTCATCAGCTAGCTAGGACTGACCTCTGAAATCCAGGACTGTCTCTGCTAACCTGGGATGTATGGTGGCCCTAGACATACAGGGCCTTCCTACCATTCAGATTTAACAGAAATATATTCTTGTTATGAAGTTGTAAGTAATGCAAAAACTTGTTTTTGTATTTTAAAAAAAGTCTTCTATTTGCTACTACTTGAAAAGAAAGAAAATTATCTGAAGATAATACATACAAATACATATTGTGTACAAATAAATTTAAAACAGAGGGAGCGTCTACACGTGCCCTATGGTACCATTGTCACTGTGCCATCAGTACCTTCCTTTAGAAAATACTAAACAATGGCGTAGTAACAGCTGTTACTGCACCGTGCTGGTGGCACACAGTTATTTTTACCCACTATGTCGCCGTAGCAACGCACTACAGTGCGGGAGCATGTTGCTATGGCAACATACGTGTTGTGCCTGCTGATGCTACATTGCTGTGGCGCATTGCTGTGGTGACATAGCATCTTGTGTAGATGTGCCCAGAGAGTACCAAACAACGCATAAATAATATAATTGGAATATAGCATGTTTCTGGAAGAAGTTTCTTATTTATAGAATGGTAGGAAATCATATAAAGAGGCATGACTAGGAAATTTTGTGCCTCCTCTAAGAAAGTGCCTGGGACATATGCCCCACTCACCCACCCCTGGTTACTCTCCAATCTTATACTTACCTAAAAGTGTATTAGTAGGGTTGGCAAACCCTGCACGGCCCTCCCCCCTTCTCTGGCTAAAGCAGAACCTGAAGTCTCTGAGCTCCTCCTTCCTCCTCCAGCTTCCACTTTCTGTCTTCACCTCTAGGGGCAGGGCAGGGCAGCACAATGTAACCCATGGTGCCAGAGGAGCTGGTGGCACAGAGTGTTTATGAAGTGGGGAGCTTGTGGCTGGGGGCATGAAGGTGGTGCTGGGATGCTCATGGCCATGCTATAATGGGAGGGTATCTGTGTGCATGGTGCAATGCTTGCATTACATATAGCGCAAGGGGCCTGTGGCTCACAGCATGTGGCCCCTGTCATTCTGGACCACAGGGCATGAGGCCCTCAATGACTTAGAAGTTGGACAGCCTTGGTTTCTATGATGAAAAATAATGAGTTACCCCAATTTTTGCTGGCTAAGAGATTGACCCAGTCCTTCTACTCAAAAACCCCCCAAAACCCACTATGGCAAAAAAAGAAATACTGAATATCATAATCTAGAAACTGCCCATTAGCAACATTTACAATTTGCTGTTCTATTGATCCAGTGTCATTTAATTGCCTTTTTTTAGAAGGTCTACTCCACAACAACATAATATTGTTTTACTATACATGAGCCATTGGAGACAATTGGTTCAATTGGCTAGGGTCAGGACCTGTGAACATAAATATCTGGACAAACACACAGAGAAAAATCAGACATAGATTCTTTGAATTTTACTTAACAGATTACATGAATTTAATATAGTATTTCATAAATGAAATGTAAAGAGACCATACTGTTTATTATGACATTCACCTTGCTTTCATGTAACCATCAAATGACTCTGTCAGCCATGTTTAAGCCTCAGTGCTTAAAGATCCATTTTCCTGCCTGCCACAAAACACTACTCTATCTATTACAAATAAGGGAATATTTTTAGATGGGAAAAGGGTTTCTCAGTCAAATAATGGCCCCTTTTTAACATTTTATCAATAAACTCAGATACCTTGTAAAATGTACCTTTAACAAAAAATATACTCTCCATTTTTCTAAGATAAAAAAATGCCAAGAAGCTCTTACAGCTAAATTGAACATAAGTAAATAAACTTGTATTTTTATTTCTTCACTATGTTGTTGAAATAAAAGTTCAGTGTTATCATTAAAAATGTACAGAAACAGGATTAAGAGGGGAACATTTTCTTTAATTATTTCAAGAGATAATTGATGAATATGAATCCCCTCTCTTTGAATTAAATTATCTTTTAAATTCAAGAAGACTTTAAAACAGGAAAGCAGATTAAATATCTTATTCAATGCTGTAAGCAATCTTGTCTTCAGCTAGGTACAGACACATAAAAACCCCAAGGCTGCATTGATTCAGTCTTTGCAGGTTAGTCTAAGCTGCGCATATTAAATTGAAACAGAAGTGAATAGACATTTACCTTTGATCCAGGTAATGCAGCCACATGTCTGCAGTGTCTCAAGGCAGAAGCCAGGGAGCACTAGAAATGGCTCTCTGGCTGTGTGTTTACTTCCTCTTCCTGCTGCCTCCAAGGTCTCTGGGATTTGCAGTCCAGACTTACAATAGCAGCATGCTGCAGAGTTGCTTATCACTTCCTCTTCCTGCTTCCATGTGGCACTGGGCTTTGTAGTCCACAGTTGCAGCCAGAAGTAAGTTAGAGCAGGGGATGTGGTGTTTAACCCCCTTCCCTAGCCCCAGACCCCAACTGAGGTTTGCTGGGGGGGTAGCCCCCCCCTCACCCTAGACTGGGCTGCATCCCCCCACACCCTTGTCAGCTAGCCGTCACTGCTCTAGCTAGGGAGCAGAGGGGTGGGGCCAACCCTGGTCTCTGGAGCAGACAGCCCAGCCCAGGGCGGGAAAGCATGCTGGGATGCTGGGGAACTGTGGTTTAACTTGAACCAGGAAGAGGTCTGGGACAGAAGTTTCATAAACTCATTTAACCCACATAACTTAAGTCTGATACTACATGCAACCAGGTTTATCTTAAACCAGTTTCAGCCATTTTGAAACTAGTTTATGTGCACTGAGCTTCTGTTCTGTTACAGGTTTAAACCAGTTTCTGATCACTTAAACCAGTTTATGTGTAACTTCTATCCCTAGCCCAGACCCTCTTATCTATAAAGTGCAAAGATGTTTTATATGTGATGCACAGGTATGCAAGGCAGTGATGCTCATATATCCTTGATTATACATTATAGATTGAACTCTTATTAAAATAGCCCACATGGGAAAAGTAAGAAAAAATCCAATAAAGAGTAAAATTATTTTTCTGAATATCAAAGATCTCTACCACAGCATCTAAATGAATCTTTAATCTAGTTAACATTCTACATTAGTCTAAAATATGTACTCTTGATAACATTTATGTTCACTGGCTAAAAGCGACTGTACTATTTTTACATCATTGCTATGATACAGTTGAATGAATGAATGAAAAAAAACTTTTGAGTTTTTATTTAAAGAATATTTGATGGAAGAGCATTGTGTTGGTGTTTAAATCTAAATAATAGATATGTATCATATTTTGGCAAAGCATTCCAAAGCTTCTTATTTCACTGTGGAATAAAATACTATTTTATTATTTCTGTTTTGTTAATGAATTGTGTTACTTGCTATCAAAGTTGCCTAGCAGAACTATACAAACTAAACAGCAAAAGAGAAGAGGGAAAGTGGATTCTCTAACCATGCCAATAAATGTTTGAATGTTTTCTAGTATAAACTACTGTGGACCTACTTGTTTCCAGTCATTGCTAATTCCACCTGATAAGCAAGTACAGATGAAATAAGAACAAGCATATTTTATAAGATGAAAATGTGACAATGTACATACAACCAATACAAATGCACTTCACATTTTGCAGGGATGTTTTGAGTTTTTTTAACTACAGTACTTAGAGATGCATTTCATTTAGCATTTGCACTTGCATTTGGATGTCTTCAATTATTTTTTCCTTCAAAAATTGTTGTAAAGCTTTGCATATATGCAATTGAAATCAAACTAATGGGGCTCTAGGTGCCTGATAGTTTCTTTCCCTTTTTAAATTTCGGTATCACATTTTGTTGTCCAATCAGATGGTACTACCTTAGCCATATAGATTTATTAAAATATTTCCTACTGGAGGTATTTGCTACTTGCTACACTTCTAGGAGGTAGATGTTTCAGTTTTGCTCCATTAACTTGCATAAATTGAACTCTGTGAGTTTTGTTTCTGCTTTGAATGTTGTAATTTTGATTTCCATGTAGTTATTAGTCATCTTGCTTCTGTCTGTATGTTCAGTATTATTCTTTTTATTGAAAACCAAGATAGTATATGTTCAATATTAGGGTAAAGCCTAAACTAACTTTAATCTTTTTCCCCATCCTATCATTTGGAGCAGGGGTGGGCAAACTATGGCCCGCGGGCCAGATGCAGCCAAAAAGCCCTTTCTACCCAGCCTGTAGGGCCCCTAAAATATTTAGAAAATTAATATTTATCTGCCCCTGGCTGCCTGCCATGTAGCCCACAATGGGTTGCCAAAACTCAGTAAGCAGCCCTCCGCCTGAAGTAATCTCCTGCCCCTGATTTAGAGCATAGGTGCCTAATTTTTGCTGTGGGGGAGGGGAAGAGTGGGGGGTTAAGATGAAGGACATATGGAAAATTTTATGCATTTCAGGTGACAGCCCTCTTCCCAAGGAGGGCTAGGGCCCTTCTGGCCCCATATATTTGTCACCTCTGATTTAGAGGTCCCATTTCTTCCTTGTTCTCTTTTTATTTATATGACTAAAGTATCTTTCAGCCTCTGTCTCAAATGTCTCTACAAGACTTAATGCAACTTGATTTTGGTCAATTCTCATTTTATATTGACACTTCTTTATCTTTATGTGCCTTTCCCTGCTCGGCATTTTTTTCCACTCTTTATGGGCCTTCTGCTTAACCTTAATTGCCTTTTATTAGGATATTGCCTGTTTATCCAGCTCCCTACAATTTTTCCTTTTACTTCAGATCCATACTCCAAAACTCTCTTCATTCAAGTCATAAGCTTTTCAGTGCAGTCAACTTCATTAACTAGTATAATTTCTCAAAGTTTGCTTTTTTGAAATTGTTATCGTTACTGAGAGACTGACAATTGTGTGCCCTTTAATTTAAATGTAATCAATTCATAATCACTCCATTAAGAATTATTTTCAATGGGCATGTCTACATATGATCATTTAATGCAGATTAGCCCAATTTAAGATGCATTGAGGGGTGTCTACATGTGCACATCCTTAATGCAGCTTAAAAATGGTGATTTTAGGCTATGTGAGCCTAAATTTGATATCAATACAAACCAAGTATCAAATTTAAGCGGGACAAAAAAGAGGACATGTCCAGGAATACCCAGACGTATGGTAACCCTAGAGTTAGGGCCCAGCAGAGCCAGCACCATAGCCAGCATGAGTGCAGGGCACTGGTCGTCGCTGGCAGGGTCCCGGCTGGAGCGGCAGGGTGCTGAGCATCACTGGCAGGGGCAGGGGCAGCCCTGATGCAGGGAGGCAGGGTGGGCAAGGAGGAGGATGCTGTATGCTGCTCCTGTACTGAGCACGCGGCTCTTGGGCAGGGAAGGGGCTGGCCAGAGATCAGAGGGCAGGACTGTGTTTCCAAGATGGCTGCCAAATGCTAACAGCTGGTGCTGGCTCTGGCTTCAGCATGGCTGCCAAATGCTGGCAGCCATGTGTCTGGAGGCTGATGCTCCCCTGGTGCCCATGGGGCACATGGCAGGGCTGAAGCAACATGGGAGTAAAGTTAGTTCCAGCTCCCAACACGTGTAGGCACTTGCCAAAATCCACTTAATCTGCATTAGTTTAATGTGCATTAAATTTAAACCTGCTTAAATTCGCATGCAGATGTGCCCTCTGATCTTTTCATCTATAATGATCTCACTGCTTACCAAAACTAAGTCTAAAATACAATGATCTCTTGTTCATTAGGCCAAGTATAGATATTCAGGTTAAATTGGGTTCAAAATGGCCACCCAATTTAAATTTAGCTCATCCTGGTGCTGACCTTACATTTACAGACCTGGTCTCTGTGACAGGCAATCAGTCTAAGCCTGTAACTGTACCGAATTTCCATGTACACAAACTGGTCTAACAATTGCAGAACCCGGTTTAAGATAAACCTGGATCTATGTAGTATTAGACTCATTCAATTTAGGTCAAACCAGTGCATGGAACTTCTGTCCACTTCCCCTGCACAGCCCCAGGGCTGGGAAAACCCAGCTGCTGGCCTCAGCCCTGGGGCTTCTCTTTTCATGCCCCACCACTGCACTGAGTTATTTTTTGCCCTCTGGCCCCTTGCCCCCTCACAACCAGCCATCCCTCTCAACCACCATCCCACAAGCCATGGCTTCAGCCGCTTTTATCAACATTTGCCACTGCCAGAGCCAAGCACATAAGTGGGAAGGGGCAGGGGGGATCGGGGTGTAGGTTCACAGGAGGGACCCCACCCCATCTGCGGGGTCATGCCTGACTCCCCACCCCACTTGGGGTTCATGCTGCCCCCTCACCCCACCAGTAGGTTGTGCCTCCCCCTCTCATGGGTTATGCCTGCCCCCCAGCCCACCTGTGGGTCATGCTGGCCCCACCCACCCCTTGCAAGTCATGCTGGCCCCTCTTTCACCCACGGGTCATATCTGCCCCTCCATCTCACCCATGGGTCATGGTGGCCTCCCCACCCCATCCACAGGTTGTGCCTCCCCCCATCGTGAGTCACACCTGCTCCCCATCCCACCTCACCCACCTCACCCTGTCCACCTCTCCCACAAGTCTTGCCTTCTTCTCCACCCCTTGCAGGTCACACCTGCCCCCCCAACCCACCCATGGGTCATACCTGCCCTCCCTCCCTCCCCACCTGTGGGTTGTGCCTGGCTCCCCACCCATGGGTCATACCTGTTGCTCACCCCTCATGGGTCATGCCTTCCCCCCCACGCCCTGGTAGACCTCCAATCCTCTCCAACCTGCTGGACCCCCAACCTTCCATTAGCCCCCTATCCTGACCTACCTCATATAATTTTAAACCAATTTAACCTCCTCCTAACACCTCCAAATGTCTGTACCTAGCCATCGGGACTGTTTGATGAAGAAATCTGCTGATTATTGCATCTCAAAATATCTGGGTCTATAATTATTTATAGCATTTATTCTTAAACCTACATCTGAGAAGTTAAATGCTTCTATCATGTTACAATTTCCAGTAGTACTCAGTATTGCACCTATATGGGAAGAAACTAAAATATTCATAGGAACTTAAACTTACATATCTTGATGATCTCAAAGACTGCATCCATGAGATGAGTAGAGTGCAGATGGGTACATAGTATTTTTCTATGTGTTCGTTAAGATTATATCAAGTGAGTTCAGAAATTGTGTCTTATTGTAGTATCTTGTAAGAACATTTTCTGACCAGAAACAATCAAAGTTATATA